TGTGAAAAATAAACATTTGAAAAGATACTAAAATACCAACTAGTTGACTTGAAGAGATAATGCAGGTGCACGTGGGTGATCGAACCTCTATAAAAATCAAGATTGCTTTGATTTACAAATCTTTAATTAATATTTTCTTGTGTGATTAACTTGCTCTATCACTTAAGTTTACTATTCTACTACTTATAGTTTATTAAAAGCTTTTAATATTGATTCATCTAATCACGAATTTAGAGGCGCATAAAGTAAGAGCTTGAGTATCACTCAAATTTCTTTTTCTTATAGTTAATTACTTATTGGGTTGCTTTAATTTTCTATATATATTATAATAATTTTTATTTTAAGTTAAAATTAGTTAAAGTTTCTTGAAACCCAATCCATCATCCCCTCTTGGGTTGTCTTACATATATTTGAGCCAACATACTTGAATCTCGAATCCCTTAAGATTCCTATGTGCATCTTTTGTCAAGAAGGCTCATAAGTCTTCTTTATAGATGTATTCTTTATAAGTGCATAGCATGAATCAAAATGTACAACTCATTATCAATGTAGAAATTCATAGATTAGTTTTACTAATCTCTTTTATAATATCTAGTCTGAAAGAACACCAAGTAATCATGTTTTTGTAATTTCTAAGTTTGTGTCTCGCAATAGGAGTCCCATTAGTCTTTGTCATTTAAAATCTTCCTCTATCTTTTTTCCTAAGACTTTATTTTGGCCTAGTCCTAAATCTACTTATAATAGTTCCTCTATGCTAACTAAGTATAACTTCTTGTTTTATCTTCTCTATCTAGGATTTTTTTTTCCAAAGACTAATTTTTGTATTTATCAAGTTCTAAATGGTTCCTAGTTCTAACATTTGTTTTCTTCTAGGTCATTTCCTAGATAAATTTTAATCCTCATATTTGTTTTCCTAAGTTCTCTACTAGCAATATAGAAAAGAGATATATAGTAAAACTAATTTTAATAACAAAATTCATTATTAAAGTAAATATATGCAAATGGTAACCATTGATATAGGGTGGAGCACTGACTGTTACTTTATATTTTTTACTAATAAAAATGTATGTTAGTTAAGCTTATCCTTTACGAACAGGAACTATTTGTATAGGATGAGTTTTATTTCCAAACTCTAATTTTGTTAATAAAGGTCGTTTTACATAAAGGGCCAAACTAACTATTAATGTTTAATTGAATCACTTACAACATAATCCCTTTTACAAAGCCATTCTCAAAATCTATTAAGATAAATCCAAACTCATTCAATTTTTGAAACAAGACCAACCTTGATAACTTTCAAAATTTCCTCTTAAATTTTTATCTTCTCTACATAAAATCCTTCGACTTTTCATCATTAACACAACATTCAAATCATCATCATCAGCACATGCCTTAGGGTTTATGTTTCCTTTCAATTTTTCAACTAGATTTGTCTTCTCTCATGTCTCTCCTTCATCACACCATTATTGTCACTATTATCATTAATGATCCTTTAGCTTGATAAATGCCTTAAGACTCCATAAATTTCAGCCTTTTTCATCACGATTCTGCAACCCATTCCACTCTCTGGTTTGTGAAGGCTTCAACCTTGGCTCATTATAGCAAGAGTTCTTATTTAAGTCCATTTCCTCCTCTTATTTTCATATATCAAATGTACAGTTATCATGCTCTAGTTTTTTATTTACCGTACTGTATAAGGACTATTTTTAAAAAAAAGTAGGGTATTAAATAATTGTAAGCAATCTCATTAAAATAATAAAATTTTATTATTTGTATGACCAAAATATATTTGCTATGAGTTAAGTGCGATTAGCTAATAAATTTAATTTTAGTGTATTAAATAGCTAATTATTTTATTTTTACTATATAAACAATAATTGGGGGAGAATATAATATATAAATGTGTCCAGTTCTCTTTTAAACCCATGTTTGTGATTTCTTGGGATACATATATCCCAATAATACAAAAATAAATCTTCTTCTCCATTTCTTCTCTCTGTCCAATAATCTAAGTTGGAGAAAATAAATTTACCACTAAGTAAATCTTGGTGGAAATTTTGAAAGTTGACTGTAGGTTAGCTGTTTAGGTTCTTGGTATTCTTATTACCTTTATGGAATTGAAATCATCATTTTCATTTTAACTACTTAAATCTATTTTATGTAAAATTTATTAAAATTGAAAAATGAAAAAGAAAACTTATACCGAGGGACAAATTTTGTCCGTACCCAATTTCTCGATGATCAGTACAATATATAATTACTAATTTATTTACGTGCAGAAAATTTTATCTTAAGTTTTAAATTACTGAATTAGTTGTGTAAGATAATATATATATATATATAATTTTAAATAACTTAAGCAGTTTTGGATGAGAATATATATAACTTACTTATTTGGTATTTATCTTATTCTCAATAATGAGAGTAAAAAATCAAACATAAATGCTTAACTACAGTTGGAACATTTGCACAACTGAAACATACACCTAGAAACGCATCGATCTAGGCATGGATAGCTCACGCAATCTGTATCTTTCTTGCAATGAGCATATCCACCACCTGGACATGGAATATTTTGGCAAAGCTTCGATTCTCAATAACGACATATCTGAAAAATAATAATAATAATAATAATAGAAGTATATATATATATATATATATATACACACGTATATGTTAAATTGAAAAATAAAGACAGAGACTACTAACATGATATTGCAAAAACCACAACCACAAAGGTGGACTTAAATCTAGCACCTTCCATATTAGTCTTGCGATGTTGGTGATGAATTGATTTGCTTGCTATTAGAGGTGTTGAAGCTCTTTTCGCCTCAACATATATATATATATATAGATCATAGAGAAGAACACACACATATATATAAGCCTCAACCAGCTTATAATTAATATAATTTTCTTAAAATCTGAAGTAAAATGAAATCTTTCCAAATTAAATAAAATATAAGATATAAAATTCTCTCTAAGAGGATTTTTATTTTTATGACACATTCAAATATATTTTGGAGACTCCTAAGAATCTCAAAAGCATCAAATAACCTAAATTTTTTAACATTTGACAATCAATTTATATAAATCAATTTTTTTTTTTTCAAATCATAATAGTAAGTCATTAGTTTGTATATGTGGTCAAAGATGTATGATGTTTTTGCACTATTTTGGTCCTATTATCTCACATATAAGTGCAATTAGTTTTTTTCCTTTGATTTTCTTTAGGAATAGCATTGAAATTAATTAATATATTTACAAAATATGTTAAAAACCTTAAAATTAGAGTTTTGAATTATTAAAAGAAAACTTTAGAACAAAAAAATATAATTATTAATCCTTCCTTGTTCTCTATATTGTTTTCTCTTCCCTTCTCTCTCACTAGCATAACAACCGGATTCGATGTGTAATAACCTCAAAAAACTCCCGATTTCCGTTTTCATATTTTGTCATGATTTTTGGATATGACAACTTCTGAATGCTTATCTATTTTGATGAAATTAAGGATAAAATACAAAAATAAAATTCTAGGACCAAAGAAAAGAAAAGAAGATTTGGGAACTAAAAATTTGAAGTAAAAACCCAAGGCAAAAAAGATGGCACTGTAACCAGAAACTTCAATCAGCACCAAATTTTGAAATAGCACAAAACAAAAAATTTATATTGCTGCAAAGAAAGCACGCTGATTTGAATTACAATATGTCAATTTCCACATTGTTTCTCTTTTCCTATTTTTGCAATTTCCATGGAGCTTGAGGTTAGAAACTTTCATTTTAGGTTGTGTAACATAGACTTACATGCTTCATAGGATTACTTTAAACCCTTTGTGAAAGAAATATTGAAGTGAATAAATCATTTTTTTCACATGTGAAATTTTGATGAGAAGAGAGGTGAAATTTGGAAGAGTGTTTGTGATCTTGTGTTGGTTTGATTTGTGGTGTGTTTACATTTTGTTTCTGAATTATACTATAAACAGGTTCGCATAAAGAAAAATAAGCTTATTATACTAAATTTAGTTTTGAATCGTGTTTAGTGGAGAACTTGTGAAAGTGGAGCTAGTCACCTTGATAAACAAGTTGTGAATGGTGGAGCTACACATTATAAAAAGAGTTTGCGTACAAGATGAAGCTTGGTACTTTGATTGATAAGCGTGATCGTAATTCTCAATTGGGAACTTGAGGAGATGACATAGCATGTAGAGTTGTAGAACTACTATAAATTGATGTTTTGCCTTTACCTTCTTTCTCCACTACTATTACTTCTCTTGTTTACATAAGTATATTGGTTTCTTGTACATCATCCTTTACATAATCACATATTGCATCACAATAATATTGCAAATAAAGCATATTCACTAACTTAACAATGGTTTAAATGCAATAAGAAAGATTATATAACCCATTTCCTCCCCTAAAAAATTGTGATGCATAGAAAATTGTAGCAAATAGACCTTATGTAACTTTTGAGAGTAGAAAAGAAGAAGAATGGGATGAGAGAGACATGGTAATAATTCAGTGGACTTTGGTTTACATGTTTTATCTGGTTGGTGGTTTGTTAAAGTGGTTTAGCTAAATTGGTTGCCAATCGGTTTAATGTTTGAGCAGGAACAATGGTTACAGCATGGTTTCCATGTCAGAGGCTTCAATATAATGTAGGAATTGTTTTGGGTTTTCAGGTATTTTGATGATACGTGTGTTCAATATTGCAGGCATTATGAAGGTAAACTGCATCTTGTATCTGAGTAATACCTTAGTTCAACTTTTGAGTCCAGAA